TTGTGTTGGATATCCCGCTTTTTTTAATGGATACCCCACCTCTGTCATCACTTTGTCATGCGTTCTTTACAATATACCCAGGTCAGTGGGCCCCAAAACCCAAGAGAAACAATACAACTACACAGGTCTCTAGACAACACCCGCACAAGCACTCAAAGGCTAGTACTTACTGCTCACTACTCCACTCTTCCCCAGTTCTACTACAGCTTCTAATACTTCTCCTTCACTACTGCTGTGAGTCTTACTGCTGGAGAACAGCATCTCTCTTTATTTGTCTTAAGCTGTTTCAGGCTTTATTTTCATAAACAAACATAAACCAACTTTTCTCTCATTCCAACTCAAACATTATTGCCCCAGCTGCCTATCTGTTTAGCTTTAATAGCCACGCAGTCTTTCTCAACCTTGACGATTTTAAGGCATGTGGACTTCAACTCCCAGAATTCCACAGCCAGCATTGCTGGCTGTGGAATTCTGGGAGCTGAAGTCCACATGCCTTAAAATTGTCAAGGTTGAGAAACACTGCAGGTGTACTGGCTAAGGAGAGGTTTTAAAGCAGTGGTTCTCAACCTTTTTAATGCCGCGACCCCAACCGATCGTAAGTCGAGGACTAAACCAGTCGTAAGTCGAGGACTAAACCGGTCGTAAGTCGAGGACTAAACCGGTCATAAGTTGAGGACTACCCAACCGGTCATAAGTTGAGGACTTTCCCTTCCCGGGAGCGCCGCACATGCATAGTTCTGCCTCCTGCGCCGGCCGAGGCGTAGCTGGCAAGCGGCAGAGACGGAGCAGGCCGACCACCAGCTGGCCCAGCCCAAGGGAGGTAAGGCACCCGCTGGAAAAGGGGGAAAAAATGGCGGACAAAAAAATGGCGGACAAAAAAAATGGCGGACAGCCTTGCTTGGCGACCCCCATGAAATGGTCAATCGACCCCAAATGGGGTCCCGACCCACAGGTTGAGAACCACTGTTTTAAAGGGAGGGCAACAGCAGCCTAGATGCTGGCCATTCTACAGGCAGTCTGCCCTCTCACAGTGATCAAGAAACCCAATTGAAGTCCATTCTCAGCCTCAGAATTAGGTGATTCTGGACTCAGCACTCAGCCCAACGTATCTCACCGAGAAGGAAGCACTCGGTATACTGGAGAAAAGGCAAGAAACAATTAATGACTACAAAGGAGACTTGGTAATTAATTTGCATTTCAACTCAGTTACAGTCAGCACATTATCTAGGATTCTAGAAAGAAGTTCTGCTTCTTTGACAGGAAGAAAAGATGTCTGCAAATTTCAGGAGTTTGATTTGATCCAGTTTTATAAACAGATGTTTGTGTTGAGGTTGCCTCAGATTAAACTGAAAGTCTTATAACATGTTACAAGGGTAGGCCAGGGTACTATGCCAAAGTATTGTGCCAAATCTAATGAAGAAGCCTTGGGGAAGAGAAGATAAACAATATCTAAGGGGCTGCCACAAAGAAGAGAGGGTCAACCTATTCTCCAGAGCACCTGAAGGCAGGACAAGAAGTAATGGATGGAAACTAATCAAGGAGAGAACCAACTTAGAACTAAGGAGAAATTTCCTGACAATGAGAACAACTAACCAGTGAAACAGCTTGGCTTCAGAAGTTGTGGGTGCTCCAACACTGGAGGGTTTTAAGAAGAGATTGGACACTCATTTGTCTGAAATGGTATAAAGCAGTGGTCCCCAATCTTTGCGGCTGGTGGCCCAGCTGATGGGGGGGGAGAGGGGAATTGGGCCGCATGAGTGGCAGGATGTCATGTGCATGTGCACACAGCCTTTGTGAGTGGTGGGTTGGCAGGCATACGTGCAGTTCGACTTGCACAAATGGGCTGGCATGCATGCGGGTGATTGCCTGCCGACTTGTCACTCATGTAAGTTGTTGTGCATGTGCATGCCTATGCTCTAGCCAGCCACCCGTGCAGCCCAATTCCAAATAGGCCAAGGATCAGTAGAGGGCCCAGCCCAGGGGTTGGGGACCCCTGGTATAGGGTCTCCCATTGAGCAGGGGGGTTGGACTAGTAGACCTCCAAGGTCCCTTCCAACTCTGTTATTCTGTTCTGTACTCCCCAGTCTTTGCTGTTCCTTTGTTTAAAATTACCATCACATTTATATTATTATCTCATAGTATTTTGACACATGTTGCTTTGTAAGATGTGGCTGTATTGATTCAGCCTACTAGAAATATATTTCGGCACAATAGACTGAAGCTCCATATCTACCTGCTTCAGTGATGATGACTGCATTGAAAACTTTGATTAATGTGGCTTTAAGGTTTTTAAGGCTGCCTCTTCATATGCTTACGTTTATGCTGTCTTTTACTTTTTGTCATCAGGATACAGAGAATAACGCTGCAGTTGTCAATAATAGCACTACAAGTGGTGGTAACATGCATGATAAGGGTATGAATATACCCAGCGATGCAACCCCCCATCATGATACCACCTGGATTCTACAGAGAAGTGATGGGGAAAGCAACAGTGGTCATGAGGACACCAGTGAAAATGAGAGCAACAGTTTGTACAGCTTCAGTGATGAATCGATGCAAGGGGATGAACCCAACCAAAGCCAAGATTCGGAAGGCTCAGAAAACAGCAGTCAGCAAGATCCCCCCAGTCAGGCCAGTGATGGGGAAAGCCCATCTTTAGGAGAGGAAGAGGAGCAAAGCAGTAATGCTGCCAGTGAGCAGTCAGATAGCAAAGGTGAAGACAGTGAAAGCCAACAGGAAAGCAATGAAAGTAGCAGTCACCAAGGCAGTGATGACACTGAGAATGGTGGCCCATCTGTCAGCAGCGAAAGCGAGACTCAACCAGACAGCAGCCAGAGCCAGTCTGAGACCAGCAGTGAGAAGGAGAGTGACTCCAAGAGCAGCAATGAAAGCGACAATAAATCTGAAAGCAGCAGTGACAGCAACAATGAATCCAAGAGCAGCAGTGAGAGTGAAAGTGAATCCAAGAGCAGCAGTGAGAGTGACAGTGAATCCAAGAGCAGCAGTGAGAGTGAATCTAAGAGCAGCAGTGAGAGTGAATCCAAGAGCAGCAGTGAGAGTGAGAGTGAATCTGAGAGTGAATCCAAGAGCAGCAGTGAGAGTGAATCCAAGAGCAGCAGTGAGAGTGACAGTGAATCCAAGAGCAGCAGTGAAAGTGAAAGCAGCAGTGAAAGCGACGGTGAATCCAAGAGCAGCAGTGAAAGCGAAAACAGCAGTGAAAGTGACAGTGAATCAGAGAGCAGCAGTGAGAGTGACAATGAGTCTGACAGTAGCAGTGAAAGCGACAGTGAATCTGACAGCAGCAGTGAGAGTGAGAGTGACAGCAGTAGCAGCAGTGAGAGTGACAGCAGTAGCAGCAGTGAGAGTGACAGTGATAGCAGTAGCAGCAGTGAGAGTGACAGCAGTAGCAGCAGTGAGAGTGACAGTGATAGCAGTAGCAGCAGTGAGAGTGACAGCAGTAGCAGCAGTGAGAGTGACAGTGACAGCAGTAGCAGCAGTGAGAGTGACAGTGACAGCAGTAGCAGCAGCGAGAGTGACAGTGATAGCAGTAGCAGCAGTGAGAGTGACAGTGACAGCAGTAGCAGCAGTGAGAGTGACAGTGACAGCAGTAGCAGCAGTGAGAGTGACAGTGATAGCAGTAGCAGCAGTGAGAGTAGCAGTAGTGAGAGTGAAAGCAGCAGCAGTGAGAGTGACAGCAAAACTGATAGCAGCAGTGAAAGTGAAAGCAGCAGCAGCAGCAGTGAGAGTGATGCCGAGAGTAGCAGTGAGAATGAAGATAACAATCAAGCAGGCAGCAATGAAAATGACAGCCAATCCAACAGTGACAATGAAAGTGATTCAGCAAATCAGTCCAGCAGCGACAGTGCTGCAGATACAGCGGAGGATTCAAATGAAACTGAATCTGGAGCAAGTGAGGATAACAACCGCAGCAGTCATTCAGACAGTGCAGCCTCCGACAGTGAATCTCTAAGTCAAGGAAGTGAGAGCAGCGATTTAACTAGCGATTACTAACCAAAGAGAAGAACGAGCAGATGAAAATACATTCCCAGCAATAGCAGTAGGGATGGCAGAGATGGCAGAGGGGGGAAAAATACAAAGCCTATTTGTAGAAGTCAAGTCAATAGTCCTAAACCCAGTTATCTTGAAGCTTTTCTAAAGATCAGTCAGACTTCAGAATAAATGCAGTTAAGGCGAATTAGCGGGCCATTAAGAGAAAATCGTGTCAGGTTTTGGTAGACATGAGCCAACAATGCTCGGAGCTTTTGTTTCTAGGTAGAGCCATTGTGCTTGCAATGAATATGTAGCGTCACCTGTGGAATTTTGATTGTTAGTAACTAGGAAATAAAATGAAAACTCAGGTTCAGTTCTTCATATTACACATCTGCTCTTAAAAGGGGTGGGCTTGATCTACATAAGCATACTTATTATTTGATTGGAAGATCAAGTGATGACTTGGAAGTGTGAATGAGCCTTTACTGATATATCTCCACATTGAACAACCCAGTGTGGATCGGATTTGTTTGTTTGTTTAGTATTACGGTTCCAACATCACATGTTTAACTCTACATATTTCCCCTGTGTAAACTGTAAAATAAATTATTATTTTTCATCATGTCTCAGGAATATTTCTTAGGAATGGCTCACCCAATTTTTATTTTCTGATTCAAAGTAGAAAAAGAAAGCTTTTAAGCTGCATACACGTATCTTTGGGCAGACGCTATAATGTCTTCTCTGCATCCAGGATTTTTATCCTAAATAGAATTTGTCAGGGGAAGCAGTGATACAAATATAACTTAGTTTCCACAAAGAGCTTTGATTACATAAAGGTCCTGCTTTAGCAATAGCAATAGCACTTATATACTGCTCCATAGTGCTTTTACAGCCCTCTCTAAGTGATTTACAGAGTCTGCATATTGTCCCCAACAATCTGGGTCCTCATTTTACCGACCTCAGAAGGATGGAAGACCAAGTCAATCTTCAGCCGATCAGGATCATATTCCTGGCAGTGAGCAGTGAGTTAACATGCAACACTGCACAATCTTTTATTTGTAAGTCTTCTTGAGTTCCTCTTTTTCTTAAGGTAAACTCTTATGAAAAAAAAAAGGAAAGAAAAAGCTGACAAATGCCTTTTGCCTGAAAATCCTCATACTTGTGCTATATAATCCCTTTGTTTACAAGGAACATTTTCAGGTTACAATTAAATTCAGACATTGTTTCATTTGAGCAGGGGAAGGGGGGCAGTTTGCTTACTTTGCTTTTCAATATACTGTAGGCTTAACTAATATTGTATTTTGCATTAAACTTAAATATTTCCTCTCTGAATTACACAATATTCACAAATTGGAAAAAATATATAAAATATATATAGAGAGAAGTATCAACCCCAAACGAAAGTAATGTTAAAAAGGTTTTGTCTGGTAAAAAGTGCATGTTGGGCAATATTATGTACAAAAATACAAATATTTAAAATAATGCTTAATATAGGCATGGAATGAACCACATTTTCAATGAAAAAATATAGTCTGGGAGAAATCAAACTATCAGTTTTTAGATAGAGAAATTTAGATTGGCAGATTTGATTATCTGCAATCAGTCTCAAAAACACCTAGTTTGGAATTGGATTTTCCAAAACTGACATCCTTCAGCAAAGACATTTTATTTCATTCAAGAATTCCTCCAATTATTATTTATTGCAAGAGTCCCCAACCCCTGGGCCACGAACCAATATGGGCAGTGGCACATGAACCAGGCAACACAAATGAGTGAAGCTTCATCTGTGCATGCACAGATCTATGTAGCATGCAAAACTACGCCCACCCATGCCTGGGGTCCACCGAAATTTTTTTTCCCACCGAACCAGTCCCTGGTGCCCAAAAGGTTGGGGGCCACTGTTTTTTTGTATTTATTATTCCACAATTTGCCATTTCTTTTTAGAACTGTAGAGCTGACCTGAAATTGATAATATTACATATAAGGAACGGTTACTGGAATTAGGTATGTCTAGTTTAATGAAGAGAAGGATGAGGGGTGAAATGATAGCAGTGTTCCAATATCTCAGGGGCTGCCCCAAAGAAGAGGGAGTCATGCTATTCTCCAAAGCACCTGAAAGCAGGACAAGAAGCAATGGATGGAAACTAACCAAAGAGAGAAGCAACCTAGAACTAAGGAGAAATTTTCTGACAGTGAGAACAATTAATCAATGGAACAACCTGCCTCCAGAAGCTGTGAATGCTCCAACACTGGAAGTTTTAAAGAAGAGATTGGAAAGCCATTTGTCTGAAATGGTATAGGGTTTCTTGCATGAGCAGGGGGTTGGACTAGATGACCTCCAAGGTCCCTTCCAACTTTGTTATTATTATTATTATTAATGATTGGGGACAGGCAGGGAAAATGTTTCAAAAGGAATGTTCTTCATAGCACTATAAGCCATAGATACAAAATATTTCTGAAACTCTGGCCTGGCTAAAATATATTTCCAGATGCTATTGCATAAAGAAGCGTCTGGAAAATTCATTATAAAGAAAAAAAAGATTCAACAGTCTGTGTCTGAGCACCACATTAAGATACGAAAAATATATTNGAATCCAAGAGCAGCAGTGAGAGTGAATCTAAGAGCAGCAGTGAGAGTGAATCCAAGAGCAGCAGTGAGAGTGACAGTGAATCCAAGAGCAGCAGTGAGAGTGAATCCAAGAGCAGCAGTGAGAGTGACAGTGAATCCAAGAGCAGCAGTGAAAGTGAAAGCAGCAGTGAAAGCGACAGTGAATCCAAGAGCAGCAGTGAAAGCGAAAACAGCAGTGAAAGTGACAGTGAATCAGAGAGCAGCAGTGAGAGTGACAATGAGTCTGACAGCAGCAGTGAAAGCGACAGTGAATCCGACAGTAGCAGTGAGAGTGACAGCAGTAGCAGCAGTGAGAGTGACAGTGATAGCAGTAGCAGCAGTGAGAGTGACAGTGATAGCAGTAGCAGCAGTGAGAGTGACAGTGACAGCAGTAGCAGCAGTGAGAGTGAGAGTGACAGCAGTAGCAGCAGTGAGAGTGACAGTGATAGCAGTAGCAGCAGTGAGAGTGACAGCAGTAGCAGCAGTGAGAGTGACAGTGATAGCAGTAGCAGCAGTGAGAGTGACAGCAGTAGCAGCAGTGAGAGTGACAGTGACAGTAGTAGCAGCAGTGAGAGTAGCAGTAGTGAGAGTGAAAGCAGCAGCAGTGAGAGTGACAGCAAAACTGATAGCAGCAGTGAAAGTGAAAGCAGCAGCAGCAGCAGTGAGAGTGATGCCGAGAGTAGCAGTGAGAATGAAGATAACAATCAAGCAGGCAGCAATGAAAATGACAGCCAGTCCAACAGTGACAATGAAAGTGATTCAGCAAATCAGTCCAGCAGCGACAGTGCTGCAGATACAGCGGAGGATTCAAATGAAACTGAATCTGGAGCAAGTGAGGATAACAACCGCAGCAGTCATTCAGACAGTGCAGCCTCCGACAGTGAATCTCTAAGTCAAGGAAGTGAGAGCAGCGATTTAACTAGCGATTACTAACCAAAGAGAAGAACGAGCAGATGAAAATACATTCACAGCAATAGCAGTAGGGATGGCAGAGATGGCAGAGGGGGGGGGGGAATACAAAGCCTATTTGTAGAAGTCAAGTCAATAGTCCGAAACCCAGTTATCTTGAAGCTTTTCTAAAGATCAGTCAGACTTCAGAATAAATGCAGTTAAGGCGAATTAGCGGGCCATTAAGAGAAAATCGTGTCAGGTTTTGGTAGACATGAGCCAACAATGCTCGGAGCTTTTGTTTCTAAGTAGAGCCATTGTGCTTGCAATGAATATGTAGCTTCACCTGTGGAATTTTGATTGTTAGTAACTAGGAAATAAAATGAAAACTCAGGTTCAGTTCTTCATATTACACATCTGCTCTTAAAAGGGTGGGCTTGATTTACATAAGCATACTTATTATTTGATTGGAAGATGAAGTGATGACTTGGAAGTGTGAATGAGCCTTTACTGATATATCTCCACATTGAACAACCCAATGTGGATCGGATTTGTTTGTTTGTTTAGTATTACAGTTCCAAACATCACATGTTTAACTCTACATATTTCCCCTGTGTAAACTGTAAAATAAATTATTATTTTTCATCATGTCTCAGGAATATTTCTTAGGAATGGCTCACCCAATTTTTATTTTCTGATTCAAAGTAGAAAAAGAAAGCTTTTAAGCTGCATACACGTATCTTTGGGCAGACGCTATAATGTCTTCTCTGCATCCAGGATTTTTATCCTAAATAGAATTTGTCAGGGGAAGCAGTGATACAAATAGAACTTAGTTTCCACAAAGAGCTTTGATTACATAAAGGTCCTGCTTTAGCAATAGCAATAGCACTTATATTCTGCTCCATAGTGCTTTTACAGCCCTCTCTAAGTGATTTACAGAGTCAGCATATTGCCCCCCAACAATCTGGGTCCTCATTTTACCGACCTCAGAAGGATGGAAGACCAAGTCAATCTTCAGCCGATCAGGATCATATTCCTGGCAGTGAGCAGTGAGTTAACATACAACACTGCATAATCTTTTATTTGTAAGTCTTCTTGAGTTCCTCTTTTTCTTAAGGTAAACTCTTATGAAAAGAAAAAGGAAAGAAAAAGCTGACAAATGCCTTTTGCCTGAAAATCCTCAAATTGTGCTATATAATCCCTTTGTTTACAAGGAACATTTTCAGGTTACAATTAAATTCAGACATTGTTTCATTTGAGCAGGGGAAGGGGGACAGTTTGCTTACTTTGCTTTTCAATATAGGCTTAACTAATATTGTATTTTGCATTAAACTTAAATATTTCATCTTTGAATTACACAATATTCACAAATTGGAAAAAAAATATAATATATATATAGAGAGAAGTATCAACCCCAAACAAAAGTAATGTTAAAAAGGTTTTGTCTGGTAAAAAGTGCATGTTGGGCAATATTATGTACAAAAATACAAATATTTAAAATAATGCTTAATATAGGCATAGAATGAACCACATTTTCAATGAAAAAATATAGTCTGGGAGAAATCAAACTATCAGTTTTTAGATAGAGAAATTTAGATTGGCAGATTTGATTATCTGCAATCAGTCTCAAAAACACCTAGTTTGGAATTGGATTTTCCAAAACTGACATCCTTCAGCAAAGACATTTTATTTCATTCAAGAATCTTTCCAATTATTATTTATTGCAAGAGTCCCCAACCCCTGGGCCACGAACCAATATGGGCAGTGGCACATTATGAACCGGGCAGCACAAGTGAGTGAAGCTTCATCTGCGCATGCACAGATCTATGCAGCATGCAAAACTACGCCCACCCATGCCTGGTCCACCGAAAATTTTTTTTCCCACCGAACCAGTCCCTGGTGCCCAAAAGGTTGGGGGCCACTGTTTTTTTCTATTTATTATTCCACGATTTGCCATTTCTTTTTAGAACTGCAGAGCTGACCTGAAATTGATAATATAAGGAACGGTTACTGGAATTAGGTATGTTTAGTTTAATGAAGAGAAGGATGAGGGGTGAAATGATAGCAGTGTTCCAATATCTCAGGGGCTGCCCCAAAGAAGAGGGAGTCAAGCTATTCTCCAAAGCACCTGAAGGCAGGACAAGAAGCAATGGATGGAAACTAACCAAAGAGAGAAGCAACCTAGAACTAAGGAGAAATTTCCTGACAGTGAGAACAATTAATCAATGGAACAACCTGCCTCCAGAAGCTGTGAATGCTCCAACACTGGAAGTTTTTAAGAAGAGATTGGAAAGCCATTTGTCTGAAATGGTATAGGGTTTCTTGCATGAGCAGGAGGTTGGACTAGATGACCTCCAAGGTCCCTTCCAACTTTGTTATTATTATTATTAATGATTGGGGACGGGCAGGGAAAATGTTTCAAAAGGAATGTTCTTCATAGCACTATAAGCCATAGATACAAAATATTTCTGAAACTCTGGCCTGGCTAAAATATATTTCCAGATGCTATTGCATAAAGAAGCGTCTGGAAAATTCATTATAAAGAAAAAAAAGATTCAACAGTCTGTGTCTGAGCACCACATTAAGATACGAAAAATATATTTTAAGAGCATTTGTTCTTTTTATATTCTGAACCTCATAATTATCAGAACAGGATAAACATACAACTGCGGAAATGAGTCTGCTCTCCTTGGCATGCAAACCCATGCAATAAACCTCTTTTATTTATCAGAGTAGACCTACAATATGTAAACTGCAACTCTGAAGAAATCTTGATGATACTATGCATAAATCACATGGGTGCCATGATGAAATGTGGTTTGAAATTGGCTCTAACCTGGCCTTCTAAACAAATAATTCACCCAATTGTGACCTATTCAACAAACCACAATTAAAATATGGTTCAGCATCTGTAAACCCAGCTTCATTCAATGAACCACAATAAGTTGTGATCACATAGAAGATTAAGCGATAAATAAGATATGCTAGTTGGATTCATACAACTTGCAAGCTAACATCAAACAATCCACAATATGACATAGAACAATATACAAACATGGTTAACTTCTTGCCATATTAGGCATGTGTCCATTTTCTCCTGCAATAATCCCTCATATCATCTCTCATGCTCTGCCCTTCAAAAACTGGAAATACTAAGATTTGAATTAAGACTATTTATCATGCCAAGAATGGTTCAATTACTAAGCTGCAGTTCCACCTTATAGCAGAATTTGTCTAATAAACAATACTTTTAATATCCCCTTCTTAAATTAAATAAAATTAAATGTTAACATGACCTTCTTAAATTAAACTGTAGGCAAACTCACAACCCAAGGATGAAAGCAATAATTACCAATAATGAAATATATACCAACTATGAAAACAGTAAGACAAAAAAGAAAAAGAAAAAAGATCTGGCAGCACAGTTAAATTTCACCCTATTACAGTGGTGGGATTCAGCCAGTTCGCACCAGTTTGGCAGAACCGGTAACTAATTTTTTGTTGAACGGACTTCCGGAAGCGGCATCCACACAGAGAACTGGTTGTTCACATATTTGAATCCCACCGCTGCCCTATTAGAACCAACGGTTAATAAAAATGGATAAGTTAAACAAACAAACAAACAAGAAGAAGCGTAATGGAGAAGGATTTTAAATTGCAAGCTGGCCAAAGAGAAACCACTTCCAATTTTGGAGGTGATATCTTTTCTGAAGACTATTAGTGATTTTAAAAAAATAAAATAAAATTGAAAGCTTGTCCCCATAATGTATCAGAAAACCTGGCTTTTCAAATGAGCTTGGGAGAAGCCCTTCCTGGAAGCTATTCCTAACATTCTTTGTGGGTGTTACAAGGAAGTGGCTGAGCTATGCGTGGGGAATTGAGGAAGCTGCTTGCTCCTTTCACAGTTCTCCTACTTGGTTAAGTACTTCTCTGCCTCAGTTCCTCATGTCTCACTAACAGGATGTGGCCAAGTTTTATTTCAGTCCAGCTGGGTGCAGTTGGTGGTGTGAGGCTTCTCTGTAACCATGGGCAAACCTTCTAGGAAGGGTCTTGTCGTATTTGCATCGGTTCATTCCTTTCTGTCCTATTTCCATATTAAATCTTTCCCTTTTAACATTATTTTTTTAATTTTAAACATAGCTAAAATACACATCAACAGTGGGAGACATTCAACGTTTGATAGATATCTCATTCAGCCATAAAAGTGGGATTGCATCAGTTTTATTCCTGAAGCTTCTTACTACAATAAGATAAGATAAGAGATAAGATAACCTTTATTGTCATTTTTATACTGTGGGCACAATGGCACACATCAAAAATGAAATTTAGTTGCCCGCTCTCAAAGTGAAACACATACATGACACACACCTAAACATACTATGAACAACACATACCTACATATACATAGCAAATTAATATTAAACATTGTCCATCTTGAATATACTTTACTGTACACTTATTAACCTAAGAAAGAATGTTTTGGGAATGTAGGAGATCAATGAGAATAAAGATCATTTAACTTATATCAGTTACCTTTCTCCATTTATGACTTCAAGATATCTCCATGTTCCCACCAACACCCTGAGAATTCTGGGGCCTGTAATTTGACAACTTTCAAATACTCCTGTAGTTTAAAAAAATAATTCATTGGTGAGTGGGTTTCTTCAGTTGTAGATTTATTTCCAAATACAGGTAATCCACAACTTACAATAGTTCATTTAGTGACCATTCAAAGTTACAATGGTCACCTGATCCAAAGTCAGATGCTTGGCGATGGACTCATATTTATGACAGTTGTAGTGTTCCAGGATCAAGTGATAAACTTTTGTGACCTTCTGACAAGAAAGTCAATGGGGGAAGCCAGATTCACTGAACAACCGTGTTACTAACTTAACCGCAGTGATTCACTTAACAACGGTGGCAAGAAAAGTCGTAAAATGGGACAAAATTAACTTAACAATTGTCTTGCTTAGCAACAGAAATTTTGGATTCAATTGTGGTCGTAAGTTGAGAATTATCTGTATTATTCAAAGCCACTCAATATGTCTCCTCTATGTTAAAAAGATAAGCTACTTTTTGGAGTAAGCCATAAAGCCAGATTTTCGAAATAGCTCGAGTCTTCAGCAACAAAAACAGCTGCAATAGAAATATTGATAAAATCCCACTTGAAGTTCCCACTTCTCCTTATCTGTCTACAGCAAACATACATTAATGCCATAAAGGGAAAATCAGCAATTGCCTTTTAATTTAAAAGATATTCCAAGCATCTTCCTACTTAATGGCTGTCAAGCCAGAAGACAAGATAGCCCTCAAATAATGTTATCAAAAGCAGCTCTTGAGACAAACCAATTGTTTGTACATCACTTATGTTAGCAGGAAGCATCTTTGTTTCAGCTATGAGAGAGAGCATCCTGGCTCTGCACAAGGGTGACATTGCAATTGTTTATAGTCATAAACCTGCCTTCATGTGAAACCCCATAATTTTAGAAATCCAAATGAACCCTTAGTGAGATCGCTCATTAAAAAAAAAAAAAAAAAAGACAGTCTAGTAGTCATTTTGAGAACCACAGCTTATTTTTAGGAAAACTATCCTTTTGGGGGCAGAAGGAAAGCGTAGGCAGGCTAGATGGATGGTGACAAGTGATGACATCACCCTTTTTCCCAAGACAGCTGATTGGTCCTCTCTTTACTGCCGCAGAGTTTAAATTCATGCACTGTCATAGAGGATACTAATTCCTGGGATTTGAAAATAAGATTCATTTTTTTTATGCTGTAGGGGAGTTATTTTTTCTTAAGACAAGGACTTTCTGGATTGAGCCATTGGAATAAGCAAAGGTAAAAGCAAAGGTAAAAAATAATAATTCTCTTTTTTGTTCTGAAATTGTTTTGTTTTTTTTAATTTTAATTTTTCCTTTTTTCTCTTTACAAACAAAATAAATACGCAGTACATTTTTTCTTTTTTCTTAACAATACTATGTCCTATATCTCTTACTTTTATTTACATTTATTTACATTACTTCTCATATTTTTTTTATTCCTCAATTCTAACCAGTTATAATACATATCCCATATCTCATAAAATTCCATAGCTTCTTTGTCTTTTATTTCTAAGGTAAGTTTATTCATCTCAGCACAGTCTAATATCTTACCTCTAATCATTAGATTTGTTGGTATGTTCTCCCTTTTCCAACATTGTGCATATGCAATGCGTGCTGCAGTTATAATATGTATAATGATGTATTGGAGTCGTTTCTCAATTTTTGGGTTGTTCTGAAATTGTTAAGAATGAAAAAAATAATGCAGATATGTAATGCTGATATGTAATGGTAGTGAGAGAAATTAGAGAATAAGTAGATTGTTATTAACTGTAAAGCCTAGAAATCTTAAAAATCAGCTTATTTCATCTTTCAAATGTGGTACATGTAAAAGTCTAGAATGAGAACTTTAAAGGAAGATACTCTTAAAAAGTAAGATTTTAAAAATTATTTTAATAATTAATAATTAAAACATCTATTATATATATATTTAAAAACCAAAATAAAATTTTAATGAGTGTAAATAGAGAAAATAAATTTTGAATATAAATAAATTTCACCTTTGTGAATAAGATTTATTCACAATAAATAAGATTTATTTAGATTTAATTAATAACCGTGGAACTATTTCTCTACAAGAAATAAGTGATTTTCAAAAGCAGGAAAATTTATTCCTAAATATCAAGTAATGGGACAAGAGAAAAACTTAATTTTCCTTAATTTTAGTTGGGACAAAATTCAAGCTACCAAAAACATTCTGAGTTGTTGTGGTTGTATATGTACTGTGGAAGGAAAGGGCGGGTCTAATTTGTGGCACCAGGATGCATATAAACAGACAACCATTAAACATTGCTCTCAATGCACTATGAAAAGTATATATAAACTTATATACATAACAAACATTTATGATAGCCTCGTCTCTGTTGACCTGGTCATCAGTACTCTGACACATTTTCTATGTCTATGTGAGCAAATTTCAAATTTGCTCACAGATGTATTTTCAACATCTGTAGTCACAGTCATTTGCACTTTCTGCCTATTTCTTTCTAACAGCTGTTTTTTTTGGGGGGGGAGGGGTTTAAAAAGGACAATTTTCCCAATTCACAAATGATGATCTGGGAGGAAAAGTCTTTGTCTTCCTATAGTAAATATGGTACATCTGATCAAACGTTGTTTCTGAAAATTGTGTCTTGGAAAGCTAGATCTGGCAGCCTATCCTATTTACTTATGCCATCCTATCAATAGCCTTTTTGCTCTGAATCAGCTAAGATATACCTCAACATAATAAAAAAGAAAGCAACAATCTGAGATCCTTTCCAGTGCTATAAACAATTGCTGATTTGGGCATCTATCTTTTATTGTTACAGATATTGTAAAATAAAAAATGAAGATAACTGGTCTCTTACTCATCTCGTTATGGAGTTTCTCCTGGGCTCGTCCTGTAAGTAGTTGCCAACATTTTACGGTGATTCAAAATATTCTTCCAAAAGCTTGAAATGACATTTGACCCTCTAAGCCAAATTCCCTTTTAAGAGATTGATTGATTGACTGATAACATTTGTACAGCCACTCTTTTTAAAAGCAGATTCTGAGTAGCTCATAATAGATGTACAGTAAAAATATTTATTCCCCCTTCTAATATTTTCAGGTATCTAGACACCCAGGTGCACACCACAGCAACTCCAAAGAACACTGGGTAAGTAAATCAACTTCAATATTTGTTTTCAAACTGAGATTATTTAAGAAATTGTACTTATAACTTCTGTGCAAAATCAGAGGGTAAACAGGTGTGGAATCTTTGTGGGACTGTTGAAAGGACTGTATTTAAATAGGAGATAGGTGGTGTTGTATGGTGTAGGGAGGGCTGTTCAATTTTAACATAGATGGCTTCATTGACACCCCCCCCCCATCTATGTTAGAATTGCCCTCTCTCAACAGAGAGGGAGAGATACAACACAACCTGTCTCCTGTCTACAACATAGTCCTTTTAGCAGTCTCAAGAAAGTTCCATTCCTGATTCAAGTGACCCTGAGATACAGATAAACCCCCAAATGGTCTCAACGACTCTCAGAAAGTTAACAACTGGTCCTCAGAGCGACTGCAAAGAATATAAATCCTTCCATTTCCCTTCCAGTCAGTTAGAATTGAAGAAGCTTCTTGGATGAGAGGTGAAATATTTTCAGAGAAAAAACCCAAGAAAGACCAGTTGCCTTTTGGGACAATCATGACCTGATGATTGAAAATCTCCATAGACAACTCTTCATATCCCTTATTCTTTCCTGTCTACTTTCAACTATTCTTCTTATGCTCACTCATAATTTTTTTCTCTCTCCTTCACCTGTTGTCTTGGGCTTTCTTGCTCACTGTGTCTCATTCTATTACTCACTTGATCTATTTCTTGCTTATCACTTATCTGCTCCATTGCTTGTTCCCTCGTTCATGCAGTCTGTCACCTGCTCTGCTATTTCCTTGGTTGCTCACTCCACCGCTGACATCTCACTCATCCTCTCTCTTACACAACAACCTATCCTCTCCTCTCCTGCAGCCTTACCTTGCTTTCTCTCATTTTTTTTAAAGCTGCAGTGGGGGCTTCTGACAGTTGTTAGGGAGTGGACTTTCCTACTTCGGCCAGTGCTGCTCCAATGTCCAAGCTGCTGATCAGAGTTCATCATTCTAACCCATGTAAACTTTGCCTCTTGAGCTGACATCTGCATCCATCCTTCTGGCCACCCAGAAGGGCCTTAAAACCTGGTTCTGCCAGTTGGCCTGGGGCCAACTACGCTGAAGGTGATGGATTGAGTGAGAGAAAATAGTCCACCCATCCCATACCGTTCGTGCTCTTGATTTTAATCTTTTATTTATTTCACTGTTGTTAATTTTAATGCTTTTAATGTTTGTATATCTATTTTTGATGCTATTGTAAGCTGCCCAGGGTCACTCAAGATAGTGAGCTAGGTGGCAAATTAATTAATTAATTAATTAATCCAGAACTCTTATAATGCCCGCCTAGTGCTTCTTGTGAGCTCAGCCAAGTGGACATGGAGGGAAATTGTTAAAGAATCCTCATCTCCTATCTCCCAGCTCACAGATTGCAAGTTAGCGAGGTGGATTTGTTCTTCACGAGGGATGCATTGCAAATCCAATGGATTGTGATGTGCCAAGATTCTGAATCAGCCTTGCACATACTATGAATATAGTCCCTCCTATTGTAAAGAATGAGATAAGATTCTTTACATAAAAAAGGTGATGAAATCTCCTTTCTGAGTTCTGTCTTGCCAGCAGAACATCATCAGGTGCTATATTCCTTGCAACATCTGACATTAAATTGCTCTTGGGATGACAACAACAACAACAACAACAACAACAACAACAATAATAATAATAATAATAATAATAATAATAATAATAATAATAATAATAATAATAATAAAGTTGGAAGGGACCTTGGAGGTCATCAAGTCCAACCCCCTGCTCAGGCAGGAAACCCTATACCATTTCAGACAAATGGCTGTCCAGTCTCTTCTTAAAAACTTCCAGTGTTGGAGCATTCACCGCTTCTGGAGGCAGGTTGTTCCATTGGTTAATTATTCTAACTGTCAGGAAGTTTCTCCTTAGTTCTAAGTTGCTTCTCTCCTTGATCAGTTTCCACCCGTTGCTTCTCGTCCTGCCTTCAGGTGCTTTGGAGAATAGCTTGACTCCCTCTTCTTTGTGGCAGCCCCTGAGATATTGGAACACTGCTATCATGTCCTCCCTCGTCCTTCTCTTAGTTAAACTAGACATACCCAATTCCAGATTATCTTGTTTCTATATTATCATATGAATATGTACAAAATATATCTAGCAATGCATCCTCTTATTTCCATTTCTTGGATAGTCTATTTCAGTTGAAGAAGGCTTGAACAGGAGAGCTGATTCCACAGATCTTAGCAATGAAGATGCTGGAGACAGACTAAGCTCAAGCACGGAAGACAGAAGAAGAGATCTTGGTGACAACAGCTGTGAAAGTTGTGAAAGCAACAGCTTCCCCAGGGAGGTTTCCAGCAGTAGCCTTGAGAGCTTTTCAGAAGCTCATGAATGGAGCACTCAGGACAATGAGGAGAGAGGTTATTTTGGACATCAGATGATCCATAGGAAAAGGGCAGACAACAAGGATTCCCACTATCACCAAAAGGAAATAAATAAGGAGAACTCTGATGACGAATCTGCTGGCAGAATGTCATTGGTAGGTCTTAAAAACATTCTTTTATAAGCAGTGAGGTGCAATGGATGGAATTGTTTTGACATTAGAAAAAAAAAATAGGAAGCTAAGAACAGTCAACATTTAGTGATTCAAAATGCAATTAATTTAGGGCAGGGGTGTCAAACTGCCGGCCCGCAGGCCGGATGTGTCATGCCAAAACTGTGCCCACCCTATTGCTGGCAATGGAAAAAAAGTCATGATACGTTGTGACACATCACGTGACGTTGCGAGTTTGATACCCCTGATTTAGGGCATAGGGAAAGAGACCAAAGGTATATGAAAAACTATAAGAAGGTATGTGTGCCTATTTTCTGACATTATGATTTGTGAAAGATTTAGAGTTGCAAAATGAATTTCAAGGACACCATGGATTACATAAGTGGAAGTGGCTGCCAGCTATTCAGAAACAAAAATAATAGTTTAAATATAAATCACTAAACATGCAGTGTTATTATTATGATTACAAATCATACATTTTATGCCATTGCCTTAGGAAGGCCCTTCAGTAAAATAGGAAATAATGTTCTATACTTTAAAAATGCAGCTATGAGATGCACTTTTGTGAATGAAGCTGAATAGAAGCCAGAGCTACAATTATTCTATGACGACTATAAAGTCTTAAAATGACCCTATGTTGTTTTTCCCTTTATTTGTCTTGTGGCACAGGAGGACCGAAGCGAAGGCCATCTTTTTGGGGTTAACAAAGAATCCAAAGAACAGTTTGATGTTGAGAATGATGGCATGGTTTATACTCCAGAACAAGTCCTTTATACTTTTGTGGAGAAAGGGGGAAGTGATCTAACAGCTGAAGAAGATACCAGTGGTGATGACTCTTTAGCTGGAAATAATGATGAAGACCCTGGGTACACTAAATCTCCAAGTGAGGCAGATGCTCTGCGACCTCCAGCAACTCATGGAGACCAAGATGGTGGTCATACCGGAGGCCGACATTCTGATGATAGTAGCAGCAGTAGCAGTAGCAGCAGTGAAAGCAGAAACTTTGAGAAAGAGGACAATCACATTATTGATTATGGCAGAAGGCATGGAAGTGATAGTTACAGTAGCAGCCAAGAGGACAGATATGGTTTTCAAAGTGAAGAAATGCAAGGAGATGAGCCAAGGACTTTTGAGAGCCATGACAGTGATTCCCACATGCTTCCTGAGGTGATTCATTCAAAAGAAAGCAGCCAAGAAATCCATAGCAATAGCAAAGCAGTAGAACATTCTGAAAGAAAAGCATACCATTTTGTTGATGGTGATTCAGATGAAGATAACAGCCCTGAATATGAACAGAACAAATCCTTGAAAGAAGATGATGATAATTCTGAAGTAGACAGCCAACTTGTAGAAGATATTAGTCAATCAATAGAAAATGTCCCCAGTCAATCCAGGGAAGATGAAACTAGTGATTCTGGGAAGTCTGTAGAGAGCTCATCCAGGGGACAATCTAGAGAGAACCTCAACAGCCATTCTAGAGAAGATATGCATAGCCAATCCAGAGAAGATGATAAGCACACCCGCTCCAGGGAGCATGATAAGCACAACCAGTCTAGGGAAGATGATAAGCACAGCCAGTCCAGGGAAGATGATAAGCACAGTCAGTCCAGAGAACATGATAAGCACAGCCAGTCTAGGGAAGATGATAAGCACAGTTGGTCCAAAGAAGATGCAATCAGAGGGCATAGTCAGAGCCAGTCTAAAGAGAACATGGGCAGCCATTCCAGAGAAGACAAACATAGCCAATCACGGGAAGATGATGTTCATAGTCAGTCCATAGAACTCTCTAGACAATCAAGAGAGAATGAAAACACAGTCTCTAAAGAAAATATAAAGAGTGACTCCACTGAAGATACCAGAAACTCCCAAGAAAAAGTTGTGCAAAAGTCTAAAGAGACAGAAGAGGGATCAAATGAGCACAGTCCTAGCAAATCTCAGGAGAGTCACTCTGTTGAAAAAGCAGGAAACATGCCACCAAGAGCTGCTGAATCCAGAGAATTCAAGTGGCATCACAGCAAATCAAGTGAGAAGAGCTCTTCTATGGAAGAGAGTGAAGAATCAGCTGAAGACACAAAAGAATCCATTGAGGATGACAGCAAATTGTCTCAAAGTTCATCATCTGAGAGCAGCAAAGTATCTGAAGAAAGTGCCAGCAGTGATGACAGCAAATTGTCTCAAAGTTCATCATCTGAGAGCAGCAAAGTATCTGAAGAAAGTGCCAGCAGCGATGACAGCAAAATGTCTCAAAGTTCATCATCTGAGAGCAGCAAAGTATCTGAAGAAAGTGCCAGCAGCGATGACAGCAAAATGTCTCAAAGTTCATCATCTGAGAGCAGCAAAGTATCTGAAGAAAGTGCCAGCAGTGATGACAGTTCAAATGAAGGGAACGATCAGCAAAGTAGATCAGCAGAAACCAGTGAATCCAAAGAGGAAGTCAGTCGTTCTATTGAAAGACCCAGTCAATCCAGAGAGGATACTATGAGCCAATCTGACAGCATGGAAGACAACAGTTGGTCAAGAAGCAAGGAGCTTGAAAGTCGAAAACTAATGCTTGACTCTTACCATAACAAACCCTTTAGTGATTATGACGATAACGATTGCCAGGATGGGTATTAATTTAATGCATGAAAAACAAAGAAACCCAACTTTGTTCAGTAGGTGGAGGTCAGAATTCCTTCTTTTAATTTATTTAATTGTTTTAGCAATGTGAAAGTTGACAGGTAGTAATGATAATTCTAGCGTCTCCAATGAAGCACAAATGCACCTGAGAAATGTCAAAGATGAAATCAGTTTCTGCAAGATTTGATATGCTTTGATGGCTGTGGAATTAAGTTCAAAGAGAAACATGAATTATAGCTGGGTGATAATTCTCAGAATAAACAACTGAGAAATTTTGTAGAAACTGAAAAAGTTTGGATAACAGTGGCAGCTGCCAGTATGTTTCCTTCACAAACTCGGCTGTCATTCAATACTTTTTTAGGGGCTGATATTCATTTCTTTCACACAGGCCTACTAAAAAAAGATTCAGTTTACACACATGCGCATGCACATATGTGTTCACAACAATCCAAAGACACGTGGGCGACTGTTGTTGTAAATTGTGCCTATGATCAATTTAAGAGGAAATTTTCTCCTTAAGTGCACAAGCTTCCCGCCATCATCATCATCATTATTTTTTAATAAGCATAGATACCCTGCCCCCTAATTTGCACTGCTGAAATCTGATGGCACAACACAGGTCATCCCAAGCTAGAAAACATCCAACAACAAACCTTTTTAAAAAATGCAGATTTCAGTCCCAATTCTTTGTCATGATGTCAGCAGATTGTCAGCACACTTCCTATGGGTTTAGAGGAAGAAGAGGAATAACCCTTGGCCAAATAAAGTTGTCTAATGCTAGCTTCTTAATGCAACATCTTCTCCATCAAGGTCCACCCATCAGAATGAAGGTTAATATCTTAGAATGTGTTTGGTTCTTGCTATCCTACCATGGAATGCCTACCATAGATATTTCTATTGAAATATTGGATAATATATAGATGGGGAAAAAAACTATTGCAAGATGGGTTGGCTGGCTGGGTGCTCAAACATGCTTCATTTGTGTTTAGGGGCAGGCTTCCCCTTGAAGCAAAGCCATCCTTATAAGGAATCCTTGCACCTTTTCACGGAATGCTTAATGACAGTAGAACAACATAGGTACAACATTTGTGTATTAAGATTAGACTCAACGGCTTGTGACTAAGTGGCACTTAAAGAAATTTAGTTACTACAGGGACTGCACAGAAGGAGACCAAGAGAATACATGTCCTATGTTAAATTCCAAAACACTTCAGCTGGTCTGCAGCCTTAGAAATATCATTAATAATTGGGATGTATGTAATATTTTGTAATAAATGTATAGCTGTATTGGAAAATATTATATTTTAATCCCTTCTTTTTATACAAGTGGACTTAAATTAAAAATAAACCAATCCTCTTCTTAGCAATAAAAGTTTTTTTTTTAAACCAAATAATTGATTGTCTGCTTTTTTATTAAGATTTGAATTCTGGAGTGTCACAATAATAGCAGAACACACACATATATGTGGGAAATAGAAATGCTTCCTTCTCATACACTAGTTTTTAAGCAAAAACATTTGAAAAAGTAAGGAGAATCAATGGAATAGCTTGCCTCCTGGGGTTGTGGGTGCTCCATCACTGGAGGTATAATAATAATAATAATAAAGTTGGAAGGGACCTTGGAGGTCATCTAGTCCAACCCCCTGCTCAGGCAGGAAACCCTATACCATTTCAGACAAATGGCTGTCCAGTCTCTTCTTAAAAACTTCCAGTGTTGGAGCATTCATCGCTTCCGGAGGCAGGTTGTTCCACTGGTTAATTGTTCTAACTGTCAGGAAGTTTCTCCTTAGTTCTAGGTTGCTTCTCTCTTTGGTTAGTTTCCATCCGTTGCTTCTTGTCCTGCCTTCAGGTGCTTTGGAGAATAGCTTGACTCCCTCTTCTTTGTGGCAGCCCCTGAGATATTGGAATACTGCTATCATGTCCCCCCCCCCTCCTTCTCTTCATTAAACTAGACATACCCAATTCCAGCAACCATTCCTTATATGCTTTAGCCTCCAGTCCCCTGATCATCAGATTTTCAAAAATAGGCTGGACAACCATTTGAGTGGGATGATATAAGACTCCTGCCTCCTGCCCTGGATTAGAAGACCTCCAAGATCCCTTCCAGCTCTATGATTCTATGAAAATTCGAGGGGAAACAGGTTTTCAAAAATTATGCACCCATAACTAGGCCTACAACCAGATCTAATTCTCTTAGATAACATTTTGAAATTTATTGGAACAAGCAACTTAGAATGTCCCAAAGGTGCTTTTCAAAAGGTAATTGGACTTTCTTGTTTTTTCCCTGGAAAACTTTTTGTTCCTCATTCAAGAAGCCTTCAACTGAAGAGACTTCTTGGATGAGAAGCGAAGCGTCTTCAGTGAAAAACAAAGAAAATCCAGTTGCCTTTTGAAAAATACTTTTGGGAAAACCGTGACCTGGATAATTAAGTGTCTCCATAGACATCAAGCAACCTAGAAGTTTTGTGATAGCACAGATTTTTCTTTTTCAACTTGGCACCTTTCTGATTTGTTGGGAGACCAGTATCCAGAATTCCCAGCAAATCATTAGTTGCGCTAGCTGGGAATTTTAGAATAGAGTTGGAGAAGACCAGGTTGGGGAAAAACTGGGTATCACAATATCTGGATGTCTGCTGAAACAAAATGGGTTAGCCCTTCCTCCCCACTCACTGAAAACAATCGGATATATTTCTGAGATCATATAAATCAGTGTTTCTCAACCTTGACAATTTTAAGGCATGTGGACTTCAACTCCCAGAATTCCACAGCCAGCATTGCTGGTTGTGGAATTCTGGGAGTTGAAGTCCACATGCCTTAAAATTGTCAAGGTTGAAAAACACTGATATAAATTAAATGCCATCATTTCCTTCTTCCACACCACACAACATGACAATATCCCTTGGCCAGAAGAGATTCCTGTCTAGAAATCATGAAGCATTTGCAGGTAGAGGCCTAATAATGTTTCTTTATTTGGGCATATCATGTTACATTAACAGAGCAACTGCATTTAGTTAATATGGGTTTAAGTTTTAGTATGAACTCAACCATTGTTTAGTTTTTCAAAGTATTTGTCATATAAGTAGGATCCCATCACAGTGCTGGTGTCCCCTCAAATATTCCTTTACAGATTTGACCCTGAGTAATGGATGCTTCCTCAGAGCAAGGCATGAAGTCACAGTGTTGCAAGAGGACAGCAACACTGTCAGAAGCCTATAATTTAACTTTAACCCGAAAACCTGTTGTAAAAATTCATTGCAACTTTGCAAACAGCCAGAAAGTGGCACTGCTGTGTAAATCAAGCTTTGTAACTATCCAGCTGTTTTTGGCTGGAGTTGAATAGTTACTGGGCAAACAAACATTTCACAGAAGTTTAGAATGTAGAATAACAGAGTTGGAAGAGACCTTGGAGGTCTGCTCAAGTAGGAGACCTATATCATTCCTGACAAATGGCTGTCCAATCTCTTCTTGTGTACCTCCATCCCTCAGGAATTTTTTGCTTAGTTCTAGGTTGGATGTCTCCTTAGTTAAGTTTCCATCCAGCCATACAAGATGTTTTGTCTCTAGAGAAATGATGAAAAATGGGAGTTATAGAATTGAGCCCACTTAGAAATGTGCCTGCATGATTAATTTCTTCATATGAAACGCAGTTTTCCCAAGACCACCTCGACCACCAGCACCACTGATTGAGACAGATCTATGCTAGTTCCAGTATAAACTTGTATAATATTTCCAGTTCTACATTCCATATCCAAGCAGTCTGTTTTCTACTCGCAAGAAATTCATATATCTCACAAAACGTGAAAACACCTCTGATGTTAGCATCTCGATTTTCCATGTATGTAAATATACTAATGTATGTAATTAATTTACATACATTCATTGTAAATATTCATCTCATTTCTTGCCATTCTTGCCTATTATCCAGCCTTCATTCTTACTTTGTCTGCCAATTCACTGCAAATAGTTTGGAAAAAAAAGATTGAATGAGTTGGATTTTGACTTTATGCTGATGATACCCAGCTTTATATCTCTACCCTGGCCACCTGAGTGATGCCATGGATGTCCTGTCCCAGTGTGTCTGGAAGCTGTGAGGGCTTGGATGGGGTGCAACAGGCTTCAGTTCAACTCAAGCAAAACTAAGAGGCTTTCAGTATCTGCACCTTCTGATCCTGGAATCTTCCATTGTTGCTCTTGAATAGCAGACCCAATGGGTAATCTGGGTGTCCTCCTGAACTCACAACTCCTGCTCAGAGGGCCTTTGCACATCTTTGGGTTGTGTGCCAGCTGTGTCTATGTTTGGATTGGAGGGCCCTGCTCACTCCAAATGCGCTTGAAAAGCGTTCAGAAACTTTACCTGGTACAGAATGTGGCGGCACAGGTAGTAAATAGCCCCAGTTGTGGGTGAAGGAGAGTGCAAAAGTTGGCTTGAAACTCAACATTAAGAAAACCAAGATCATGGCATTTGGCCCTCTCAATTCTTGGCAAATAGATGGGGAGGAAATGGAGATAGTGACAGGTTTTATCTTCCTGGGCTCCAAGATCACCACAGATGGGGACTGCAGCCAAGAAATTAAAAGACGCTTGCTTCTGGGCAGGAAAGCTATGGCAAATCTAGACAGCATACTAAAAAGCAGAGACATCAACTTGCCAACAAAAGTACGTATAGTCAAGGCCTTAGTTTTTCCAGTTGCAATGTATGGCTGTGAAAGTTGGACCATAAGAAAGGCTGAGTGCCAAAGAATTGAGGCCTTTGAACTATGGTGCTGGAGAAGACTCCTGCGAGTCCCCTGGACTGCAAGGCGATCAAACCGGTCAGTCCTAGAGGAGATCAACCCTGACTGCTCTTTAGGAGGCCAGATCCTGAAGTTGAAACTCAAGTACTTTGGCCCCCTAATGAGAAGGAAGGACTCACTGGAGAAGATCCTAATGCTGGGAAAGATTGAGGGCAATAGAAGAAGGGGACGACAGAGAAGGAGGTGGCTGGATGGAGTCACTGAAGCAGTAGGCGTGAGCTTAAATGGACTCCAGAAGATGGTAGAGGACAGGAAGGCCTGGAGGAACGTTGTCCATGGGGTCGCGATGGGTCGGACACGACTTCGCAACTAACAACAACAATACCATTTTTCCATGAGCTGCATTGGTAGCTGGTGTACTTCAAGGTAATTCAAAGTGCTGTTTGTCACCTTTAAAGATGTTCATGCCTTTGGACATGGATACTTGAGGGACTTTCTCTCCACAGTTGTTTCAACCTATCTAATCCGATCAAGCCAGATGGCATGATTTTGGCCTCTTGGCCAAAGAATGTTGGTTGGCAGTACCTATAAGATGTGATTTTTTTTTCTGTAGTGTCCTTGCTGGTCTTTCATAAAGCCCTGAAGAACTGATACTGAGCCTGGATCTGGGGCCCCAAGACTATGGTCCTTGATTATGCTTATGCACTCAAGGTTCTTGGTTATGCTAGTGATTTGGACTGATGTTGGCTGGCCACTGTGTATTTTAAATATTATAAATATTATAATATTATAATTTTTTTTATTTTAACTCTGTGTACCATCCAGAGCCTTTTGTTGAAAAGAGGAGCTATATAAATTTGGATAAACAAGCAAACAAACTTTCAGAATCTGGATCTTGCATGGGATTTGGGAATTGATGTCCAATTCATCTTTGAGAAGGCTATTCTGAACTGAATGAGTATAATAAAATATATATTTCTGTGTCTTTTGAGCAACACATCCTACTTTACAAGTATTTGCATTTTTGTCTCTCTTTATATCTCTCTTCTGGAAGGAAAACTGACAAGTCAGCCATGCTCTGTCCTATCATTGTGTCTAATCAATAGCAGCAAATTTCACAAATGTATTCTCTAAAGAAAAAACATTCTAACTCCCTTTTCACATCAAAGTAATGTGTCAGCCATCTATATATGAGCAGGGAGGGTTCTGGGGTTTCTGAAGTTATTGAATTTGTAATACCTAGATGATTGTGTCAGTATATTACCATATTCTGATGATTTGAACACTCAGGTTTGGATCTATTAAAAACATCCTTGTTCCATAATTAGATGGCTTTACTTCATTTTAAAGATATAAGCAATGTTGGATTAAACTATGTAGTGCTTTGATCATTTGGAATTATCAGAGTTGTGTAGAAGTCTAGAGTGCTTGAAAAATCTTCCTAGATGAATATGCCATACCATTTTAAGGTGTTGCCAAGAAAATTGTTTATGAAATCTCTTACTTTTGAACTCAACTTGAGGAAGATAGTCTATAAGGGGAAAGTAGTTACATTATGACATAACAGGAAAAAATGGGAAGAATGTCTAACTTCTAATGCC